GCCATGCACTTCTCCAACGGCAGGGCAGCTCTCATTCTCGTGTCCTTGGCCTGCAGGGCTGGGGCGAGCTCATCACACAGTCCCATGAATTTCCTCATCCGAAAGCTCTGCAGCCACGATGTGATCCCACCACTCAGTGCTTGCTCCCGGAGCCCAAAAGCTGTATTCCACCGAGGTCAGCACCTCCGTGACTGCCACAAGCAATCTCCTGTCATAGCTACTACGTGTGGCGAGATCAGTGTTGCACTCCTCTTGCCTTTGTAGTTTAAGGAATAACTCCACTGCCACTCGTGACGTGTCGCTCAGAGCGAGCAGCATCCTGGTCAGCAGTGCGGGATCCATTCCTGCAGCCCGAAAGAGGCAGACGTAAGCACAGGGATTGCTGGGATGCGAAGCAATGCATCACGGGGCATTGGGACAGGACCCAGGATGCCCTGTGACCCCCCCCTCCGCCTTCCCACCAGTCTTAGCGGCAAAAGAGAAAGAGGAGCTCTGTGGGACAGCTGCCCAGAGTGCACCGCTCCGAATAGCACCACGAGTGTGAACACACTATTGCGCAGGCAGCTGTCAGTGTGAACACACAACAGCGGTTTCCCTTGGGCGCGCTCTGAGCAGCGCTGTAACTTTGCCAGTGTAGACGTACCCTAAGGCATGATCCATGCCACAGCCAGCACTGCGATAAGATCTCGGGTACAGCTTTCTTTCAGATGCTTGCGACTGGCCAGAACCAGTCTAACTGGTGCCAGTGCCCTGATCTTGGGTGTTTCCGTGATGTCTTCCTCGTGATTCTCCCAGTGAAGCAGGAGTTGATAACACACAGATTTTGACTTACACAGCGTTCTAACGCTCACTGGCTATTTTCATTCATTTGACCAATTCCCTGTTTGCCCAGAATACCCGGCCAGTTCTCAAAACTGCATCCAACTCTCGCATTGAAGTCACCGAGTGTTATAATGGTCTCATTTCTGTGAGTTTGCTCAGTCTCAAGCTGTTGGTAGAAAATGTTCTTGTCATCATTGCTAGCTCGACGGGTAGGGACATAAACACGAAATAAGGCGATGAAAGTATTCTGTGGGCACGTGGGTGAATAGACACAGCAGTAGGGCTTTCACAAGACGCTAGTAAGCTGGTTCTAATAGCAAAGCCTACTTCCTGCTCTCTCCTGCCGGTTCCCTATGCTGGAACACAGTCTAATCATTCTCTGGGATAGAACCTGTATCAGAGAGCCGAGTTCCTGATCATGTAGCAATGTCGATTCTAAATCTAATCAGCGGTAGTTTAGCAGTGCTGATTTTGGAAGTCAGAGTCCGGATCAACTCCTAGGCTCAAAGTCCAAACAGGCCCATATGCAAGTCTCTTTATTTCATTTCAGCCAGGATTGACGGGGTGGGGGGGGGGCAGGACAACTGTTTTGGCCCTCCTTTTCTAGGGCCTCCCTAAAGAGCTAAGCAGGCCACCCTGCATAGGGCTGCTTGGAGACCTTGGCAGCTGCCTCAAGATCCAGAGACAGAAGAGGTGGGGAATCGGAGTGTGGGATTAGGGGTGGTGGTAGTGGAGGGTGGGAATCGAGGCTGGGGGAAAGGATTGGGGCAGTGGGGGTTGGAGGTTGGAAGTATGAGTGATGGGGGATTGGAAACTGGGAATAGGGCCTGGGGTGGAGAAGATAAATGGTGGGAAATTGGGGTGGAATTAGGGGATGGGGAGGGTGATGCGGGTGCTGGAGAGAGTGTTTAGGGTCGAGAGAGGTGAACTGGGGTGGGAGGGTTGGAAATTGGGATTAGGGATGGGGGTAATGGAGGGTGGGATTAGGGTTGGGCATGGGGACTATGGGTATTGGGCAGTTGGAAAGTGGGATTAGGGTTTTGGGAAAGGGATTAAAGCAAGGGGCTGGAGAGAGGATTTAGGGGCTCAGGAAGGGGATGTGGGACAGTGGGGAGGGAGGTATTTGAGATTGAGGATGGGAGAGGTGGGGAGTTTGAGGGGGATTGGGGTCTATAGAAGGGGATAATGGGTGGGATATGAGGCCCAGGGAGCAGGATTGGATTCTGGGTGTTGGGGGGTAGGATGGCTGGATTAGGATTGGGGAAGGGGATTAGAAGCAGTGGGGGGGGCTGGAGGGTAAGCCTAGGGTTGGAAGGGGATTTGGCGTGGCAGGGGCCTGGAGAGTGGCATGAGGGGCTGGGGGATTTGGCACAGTATGGGGGTTGAGCTGTGGGTTTGTCTGGGTTGGGGATTAGGGGATGTGGGATGGGGCAGTGTGGGGTTGAAGGGCGAGAGTAGGGTATGGAGAGGGGGACTGGTGGGGTGTGGCGTTGGAAGTTGGCATTCGGGGTGGGGGTGGCTCATGAGATTAGGGCCTGGGGAAGGGTACTACGGCCGGCGTGGGGGGGTTAGTGGGTGGGGTTATGGGCTGGCTATGGGGATTGGGGTGTTGGGGTTTGATGGATGGGGAAGGGGACTGGGGTCTAGGTGCTGGGGAGGAGGCTTGGGTTAGGGCTGGGGAGGGGGTGGCAGGTCACTTGGGTCAGAATTAGGGCTGCGGCGGGATTGGGGCGGGGGCTGTTCGGGGCTCTCTCTCCCAACACGGGACCTGCATTAGGGACCTGTCTAGACGAGCCCTAAGGATCTGCATCCAAGCACCTCAGCTCGGCCAGGTCTGGTTTACAAACTGAGCCCCTTGAAGTCTGTACAGAACACAGAGGGATCAATTCTCCCCATCATGACCCTTGGCAGAGCACTCACACCAGGGCAGGGTGTCCAGAAAGGCTATTTTGCAAAGATGTTAATGGCTAAATAAGGTGAAAGGCAGCTGGGGGAGGAGAAGGCCTTGCCTGGAGATCCATTTGGGGGGGGGGGGAAATTAAGTCCAAGATAGGCCCCAGGCTGCCTCTCTGCTACGACTGTAAGCAGGGCTGACCACCTGGGAGACCTGGGTCCAGCCCAAGCTTCGTTAATTGCTCAGTTCTGTGACCTTGGGCAAACCCTGCCTCAGTTTCCCCATCTGTGAGAGAAGGGTTAATCTCTTCTCAACATCCTTCTCAACAAGGAAAGTGTGGGCCCCTTACTGAATGAGGGAGGCAACCTAGTGACAGAGGATGTGGAAAAAGCTAATGTACTCAATGCTTTCTTTGCCTCTGTCTTCACGAACAAGGTCAGCTCCCAGACTACTGCACTGGGCAGCACAGCATGGGGAGGAGGTGACCAGCCCTCTGTGGAGAAAGAAGTGGTTCGGGACTATTTAGAAAAGCTGGACGTGCACAAGTCCATGGGGCCAGACGAGTTGCATCCGAGAGTGCTAAAGGAACTGGCGTCTGTGATTGCAGAGCCATTGGCCATTATCTTTGAAAACTCGTGGCGAACGGGGAAAGTCCCAGATGACTGGAAAAAGGCTAATGTAGTGCCAATCTTTAAAAAAGGGAAGGAGGAGGATCCTGGGAACTACAGGCCAGTCAGCCTCACCTCAGTCCCCGGAAAAATCATGGAGCAGGTCCTCAAGGAATCTATCCTGAAGCACTTACACGAGAGGAAAGTGATCAGGAACAGTCAGCATGGATTCACCAAGGGAAGGTCATGCCTGACTAATCTAATTGCCTTCTATGATGAGATTACTGGTTGTGTGGATGAAGGGAAAGCAGTGGATGTATTGTTTCTTGACTTTAGCAAAGCTTTTGACACGGTCTCCCACAGTATTCTTGTCAGCAAGTTAAGTATGGGCTGGATGAATGCACTATAAGGTGGGTAGAAAGTTGGCTAGATTGTCGGGCTCAACGGGTAGTGATCAATGGCTCCATGTCTAGTTGGCAGCCGGTATCAAGTGGAGTGCCCCAGGGGTCGGTCCTGGGGCCGGGTTGTTCAATAGCTTCATAAATGATCTGGAGGATGGTGTGGATTGCACTCTCAGCAAATTTGTGGATGATACTAAAGCTGGGAGGAGTGGTAGATACGCTGGAGGGCAGGGATAGGATACAGAGGGACCTAGACAAATTGGAGGATTGGGCCAAAAGAAATCTGATGAGGTTCAATAAGGATAAGTGCAGGGTCCTGCACTTAGGACGGAAGAACCCAATGCACCGCTACAGACTAGGGACCGAATGGCTCGGCAGCAGTTCTGCAGAAAAGGACCTAGGGGTTACAGTGGACGAGAAGCTGGATATGAGTCAGCAGTGTGCCCTTGTTGCCAAGAAGGCCAATGGCATTTTGGGATGTATAAGTAGGGGCATAGCGAGCAGATCGACGGACGTGATCGTTCCCCTCTATTCGACAGTGGTGAGGCCTCATCTGGAGTACTGTGTCCAGTTTTGGACACAAGAAGGATGTGGATAAATTGGAGAGAGTCCAGCGAAGGGCAACAAAAATGATTAGGGGTCTGGAACACATGAGTTATGAGGAGAGGCTGAGGGAGCTGGGATTGTTTAGTCTGCAGAAGAGAAGAATGAGGGGGTATTTGATAGCTGCTTTCAACTACCTGAAAGGGGGTTCCAAAGAGGATGGCTCTAGACTGTTCTCAATGGTAGCAGATGACAGAACGAGGAGTAATGGTCTCAAGTTGCAGTTGGGGAGGTTTAGATTGGATATTAGGAAAAACTTTTTCACTAGGAGGGTGGTGAAACGCTGGAATGCGTTACCTAGGGAGGTGGTAGAATCTCCTTCCTTAGAGGTTTTTAAGGTCAGGCTTGACAAAGCCTTGGCTGGGATGATTTAACTGGGAATTGGTCCTGCTTTGAGCAGGGGGTTGGACTAGATGCCCTCCTGAGGTCCCTTCCAACCCTGAGATTCTCTGATTCTACGATCCTTCCCTTGAGAGTTTTTCCTATTGTCACCGTAGCACCTGGGCACCTTCCATGCTACATTAGCAGCAATGGGGAAGTCTGCGGTGGACTTCAGGGAATCCCTGGTGCGCCTCCGTAACGCAGCCCGGCCCCTGCCCCCGGAGCCCGGCCCCCCGCTTGAGTGGCAGCCGAGGGAGGCTCCGGCGGCGCCCGGGCTCGGAGCCGCCTCCCCGGCAGGACGCGGCGCAGGGCAGCGCATCCCGCAGCCTCCGGCAGGACGCGGCCGCCGCCCGTGCGCCCCCGGCCCCGCGCCCTCCCCGTGCGCCCGAGCCCGGTAAGCGCCGCGCCCGCGGTCCCGGCCCCCGCGCCCCGCTGCCCGCAGCCCCAGCCCATATCTGGGCAAAACATTCGGCCGGCGCCGAGCGGGACCGAAGGCAGCTCAGCGGCTCTATAAATAGCCCCGGCTGGCGCGGCGAGCTGGGCGCCGGGCTGCAGCCCAGGAGCGGGGTCGGGGTCCTGCCCTTTCCCCACCTGCCGGCGCTGCAGCGGCTTGGGCAAAGGCGGGGGGCTGCCCCGCTCTGCCTGGGGACTCCGAGGGATGGGGCCCTGGGCATTGCCAGACTGGACCCCATGCTTGGGTCACCTACCCCAGTCCTATGCCTCCCCCAGATGCTTGCAAGGGAAGCAGGAGACTCCCTGCGGTTCTGGGCTAGCCTGGCCCAGGGAGAATCTCCTCTGAGCCCCAAAGCCGAAGGTTAGAGCCTTTAACAAGCTCTGGGTGTTGGTTTAATTTTTACCACTGAACTTTGCCAGTCAGTGCTCCACACTGTTCGGAACCCCACTGAGTTCACACCCTGCCCAACCCTGTATTTTCTATTTGTTTCACTTTGTACAACACTTGGGATCCTCAGCCCTGGCAAGTTCCCTAAAGAAGGAGCCTGACAACAGGGTAATGAGGCACAAGTTACATTATACCAGCACCTTCAGAGAGCCTGATAGCCACAGTGAGCTGTAGCTCACGAAAGCTCATGCTCAAATAAATTGGTTAGTCTCTAAGGTGCCACAAGTACTCCTTTTCTATTTCTGTAAAGCGCAGCTGTTCAATGGACTTAATCTTTGCCTTTGATAAAATCGTCACTCCCCATCTCGATTCCGGGCTTGCCACTGGTGGGTAGCGTGATGTAGAACCCTACTCACAGGACACATCCATTTTTTGCTTACAACTTTTCCACAGAACTTTCCCAGGAATAGTATTCGAATCTACTTGATCAAAAAAATCAATCTGTTAACGTGATGTAATTTGTGAGCCTGTCCGTGTACTTTGGTCACTGTGAGTGGTGTTTTGTGAGTAAATGGCTTGCAGAAAGAGGACTCTCCTTCATGTTTAGTGTGTTGAAAGTATTTGTAAGTGTAGAGCACTTAGTGTAGATTGATGCCACTTCCCCTCCCATATATTTGGGAATGTTAGGAGCCAGGCCCTAACACCCCACAAAGTAGTGCATTGTGATTTACTACCCATTATTTCTCGAGCACTTGTTTTGATCCATTTCATAGTTTTCATATCAAAGGCAGTTTGAATTAATTTTTCAAGTAAGGTGTCGTGAGTCGCTGTGTTGCAATCACTGTATTCTCTGCTTCTGCTAAATTTGTAATTCCTTCCCCAAAAGCAATTCTTTGTGATTTATCCTTTGTAAATCCATTGCTGATTTATTGTCCATGATTTCATTCTCTTCCAAGCACTTGCAGATTTTTAACTCAATCTGTGTATTTCATTATTATAGTTTGAATTAATGATTTAGTTTAATTAAATATTATAGGCCAGATTTTCTATTCATTACACCAGTTTTATGCTGGTGCAATTCCTGTTATTTCATGGAGCTATGCTGGTATGAAACTAGTGTAACAGAATGGAAAATCAGGCCCTGTACTTAATTACTTACAAGCTATTTTAGTACAAAGAATTTTAATTTTAGCTCTGCAGTTCCCCTGTAATTAGAATGTGTGCTGCTGCAATGCCATAATCCGTGTTGCTTTTCAGCTAAAATCAGACATCACAGTAGGCGTTTAAAGACCCCAGGAATTAATCTCTGAGGTGCATTCGCTTAAACAGTTTCTATCTATACACATGTATCATATATTCCATTTTAATGAAATTTGTTCCAGTGGAACACGCCAGTTTGACAGCCCCTCTCTTAATCCAGAGATCAGGCCTGGCCATTCAGCATTCATGTTCTGGATCCGTTCCTCATCTGCTGTAGTGCCCACTGAAGTCGACTGGCTTGGAGCAACACCAAGTTGCACCAGCTGAGGATCTGCCTCTTTCCCTTTGCAGTTCATCCCTACAGTGCAGTTCTAGTCTGAAAAGTGACATCAGTTTAGTGTGTAAACTTGGGCCTGTTTATAGTCAGATTCCTGTACACTTATGCTCCTGGCTAAGAAAAGTTTTTATCCCTGTAACCCTTTTGCCAAGTGGTGTTGGCAGCAAGAAGAGCCAGGTTCAATAACTGGGGGGGACTTAGCATTACAAAACAGAACCATTTTGAGCCCCCACCCAGAAATCTGGGAAAACTAAATACCACCTCTGGGTGCTTCTAAAGCTACATCTGCTCTGAAGGCTGGGTTTCTGGTTCCCAGCTGGACCAGACATACTCTACTCCTGTGGGAATTCTATGCCAACAAATAAAAAATTCTGCAAAATTCTGCATCTTTGTCAAAATCACACAATATAATCTCACCAGTTTCAATTATTTTGGTAGTTTATTTCAAAATAGCTGTCAACACATATGTCTGTAACAATACAGACAACAAAAAAAGATTCAGGAAGTGATTTTTGACAAATAGATTCCTTACTAGGCACATTAATACAGAACTCTGAGGAATAACTGCAGCACCTCTCCAGCAGAATGCATCTTCTGTGGGGGATTAAAAAGTCTGCGGAGGACGTGAGTTCTGCATGTGTGTAGTGGCGCAGAATTCCCCCCAGAAGTAATACTCGCTCTGGCTCTCGTTGAGCTACCATGCTAAAAATAGGTGTGTAGCTGCAGCAGCAGCAGGAAGGTCTTGTCGCCCCGAGCACAAACCCGCCTGAATCTGATGGTTATGAACTCTGGGCAACTAGCCCATGCCCCTGCTGCCTATCCTACCATGGCTACCCTGCTGCGGTTAGCGCGTGAGCTCAGCCGAGAGCTAGCATGAGTGTACCCATGCGAGCTGGGAGACGCATCCTTAGTTTGCAGTGTAGATGGTGTAAGTGTAGATTAAGAGGCACTACTGCCCCCTCACAAGCACTGAGTCTGTGTTTAACAAGTGAAAACTTTTAGTAAGGGGAGAGGGAACACACCACAACAGTGACCCAGAAGTACCTCCTGCTTGGTGACTAAGGGTCCAATTAGGATGACCCCTGTAAATTAAGGCACAATAAATAAATTAAAATAGGCATCTTAAGTATAGGTCTGCTGCCCTTTCCTCATACGATAATGATAACATCATGTAATTACCCCTGCATGTAAGTGAATTTTAATCCAAAACAGCCAAATGGATCACTTTGGCAAAGCATGTGTGTCCGTGCAAATACAATCTGCTCCTGAGGTCTCTTCCCCCAGTTCCTCAATGGAAGGCAGGGGAGAGCTCAGTCAGACCTCTGCTTACACTCCTGTTAGAAGAGCAGACAAGAGCTGAAATGGTTCTGGGGGAGGGATTCTATTCTGGCCCATGCATCAGTACAACCGGAAAGGAAGGTACAGTGTGAGTCAGTAGGAGCCCTCTTGGTTTTCATGCAGGGCTGGCAAGAAATTAACGGTGGATCTATAATAGCCAGACTGCCCCCTTTGGTTTCTTACCAGTCCTACCCTGCATCCATGCACAGTGTTCCCATGGCATTCATTGGGAGTTTCAAAGGGGCAGCAATTTCAGGATTGGTCTCACAACTTTGACGGGAAATTTATTTGAATTACAGTTGAGAGTAACTCTCCCCATCTGGGCAGTGAGAAAACATAGACATGTGAGCCCACTAGCCTTTCCACAGCTCCAGCCATGGATCTCCTGTGGGTCTAATCTTTGCTATATTTTCATCAAGACTGCCAAAAAGGTAGCAACTAGGGTGACCAGACAGCAAATGTGAAAAATCAGGATGGGGGTGGGGGGTAATAAGAGCCTTAATAAGAAAAAGTCCCAAAAATTGGGACTGTCCCTATAAAATCAGGACATCTGGTCACCCTAGTAGCAGCAAGTATGCCGAAAACCCCAGAGCACCGACACACAAGAACTTCCAAGAACTACTTTGCAAAGCAAAATGTACTCTGGGGCCTACCTGCTGAGCTAGCCGTTATCAAAATACAACCCTGGCACCTTCCCAGTGTGGCTATGATGCAATTAGCTCAGCCTGGGTGCAGGTCAAATAAAATCTCTCTTCCTGAGCAGCCCCCTCACCCCCGGCCTCTGTGCTTGCACTGTTTACACTCACCCCGTTTCTGTAACTGGAGGTAGCTGAACTCAGAAGTTGCACAAAGACTGGCAGCAGCAAGGAGCGATTCGCAGCATAAATAACTAGGGGCAGGAGATGAGTGTGACCACTCTTGAAATGTAAGGGATCGGACTCTGTCCTGACTTCCACCCTGTGCAATCCCACATGCTCCTATACGGTCACGCAAGGAAGTTTGGATAGGGCAGAATTTGGCTCTCCGTTCTGCAAGGGATGTGTTATTTAGTGGTGTTTTTGCAGTGGGTCTCCCTGTAGTGCTCTCGCTTTCGGCCTCCCGTGTCCTAGAGGCAGCCGTGTGGACTGGAGCAGAGCAGGAGTGTTTGGCACCGTCTCTGGGGTCCCTATTCATCACTTGTGAAAAAGGTACTTTCCTTTCTGACTAAGAGAACGAAATCAGCTAGAAAAGAAATCAGTGCACACATGTCAGAAAGCAGCCCCATAAAAGGACAGGTTTTAGATATTTATTCTTGCTGTCCAAATCAAAGACTTGACACTTGGTAATAATAAAAAATAGTCACGTCTCAATAAGCATGCTTCATTTGAATCCAGTGCCAGAAATTAACTGCACATTGACTGGTCCACAGCACGAGTGGGGAACATGGTCTAGGGTACTGATCATGGGACTTGGAGACAGGGAGCATAATTCTCCATGGCCGTGCTCCTTGTGTCGTTGTTAACACCTATGCAAAGTTCGTGTAAATGGTCCCAGATCAGAATGGCTGCATTTTACACCCATTAGCTCAGGTGTAAGTGCAGGGCCAGCCCACAACATTTTGGCACCTGAGGCGGGGAGCTCCAATGACGCGCCCATGCCCCCTCGCTTGGGCCAAAACTTTGAAAGGTCTCAATTCTGC